CCGGGCCCCCCGACCGCCCGGACCGGCTCCCCGGAGCGCCAGGCCCGTCGGCAGCCCCTGCTCTGCCGCCCTCCCGCGTTGTAGTTCTCTTTTCTCGCTCCTAGACTTTCCTTTCCCAATTTTTTTCTTTACCTTTGTCTCCCTCATTTAACATTTTCCTAATCATCTCTCCTTCTTCCAGTATCTCCTTAGTTTCTCGTTAGTTCTGTTTAACTTTGTCTCCTTCTCTTTTTTCTATGTCCCTGTCCTTTCTTTCCACTTTGTCATCACTCTTTGTCTTTCTTTCCCTTTCCCTCTTTTCTTTTTATTTCTACATGTTCTCTTATTTGTGTTGTTTTCTTCTTTTTTTAAATAAAAATAAAAACTGGAGTCTCTTTTGTTCTTTTTTAAAAAATTACTGTCTTAAATTTTTCCTTCGTTTTCTCTTTTTCGTTCTTGCTATTTCTTTTTCGTGTCTTTTTTTTTCTTTCCTATCTTATCGGGTTTTCTTTCCTTTTCTCAATTTCTTTTCCTCTTCGCCGCCCTCACCATTTTTGGTTTGGTTGGTTGATTTGGTTTTTGTTTTTCCTCTTTCTTCTGTGTTCCCTGACACTCTGACCGTCTTTTTCACCATCTCTCCTCCCACCTCTCCAAGCTCACGGCCACCTCTGTTCTCTCTCTTGCCTCCAGTCTCCCTCTGCCTGGCCTATGTCTAGGTTCATGCTAATCTCCAAGCTGCTGGGTCCCCAGGCTGGTGGGTGGACAGGCTTTGGGGGGAATGCCAGGCCTTCCTCCCTGCCCCAGCGTCCCAGCTGCGACCGTGGAACCCACCCCACCAGGAGCTCCTGTTCACGGTGAGGCTTCAGGCAGCTGGGGCAGGGGGCTGACGCAGGCCGGTGTTGACGCGGCTAGGAGGCTCACCTTCCATGTCCCTGGTGACTGTGCTGAAGTGCATCCCGGCCGGGGATCTCGGCAGCCGGCGAAGCTTCGCCTGGTCGGAGGACCCGGGGCCCCGGTGGGCGGTGCCCTCCGAGGCCTCGGCTGCAACCAGAGAGGCGATGCTGAACGCACTGGCCCGGGGAGACAGCGGGCTCCGCGCGTCCATAGGCGCCCGGCGGCCTGGCCGGCGCCGCCTCCGACTGCGTGCGCCCCGCCGCACCGCGCCCAGCCCAGCCCAGCCCACGGAGTCCGGGGGCGGGGGCCTGCGGTGCCACTCAAAGCCGCGGGCCCCAGGCCCAAGGGATTATGGCGTCATGGGCCCCCCACTGGGACCAGTATCGGTCTAGGGGCCCGAAAGGGTGGAGCACCCTGGAAGTTCGGGGACCTCCTGCTTTTCAAGCTCTCTGCCCCGCACCTCTGCACATCCGCTTCCAGGGCCCTCAGTGACCAACGCCCCTTGAACATCCCGCTGCTCCTGCCGTGGCCCGGCCTCCCTAGGTTTGGCTAAGCCGACTTTGGCTTCTACAGCGGAGAGGCCGATTTGCCGGGAGCACCCAGCCTGGGGTGGCAGAGAGCTGATGCAGCTCCGAGGGGCAGCCTGGGCCCAGCCCGGCCCCTACCCTGGCCCCTCCCGCCTCCACCTCCTCCTCGGCTGCCCCTGCACCTGGGTGAGGAGAGAGCAGCTCGGGTTCGCAAGCAGCCAGCCACGGACAGATAGCCCCCGGGCCGCGGATTCCTCTGTTCCTTCGCGCGGTGGGACAGGACCCAGCCCAGCAAATGCCCCACAGACCCCTTAGGTCTCCTCGCTGTCGTAGCTGGGGACCCGAGCCTGGGGACGACGCCCAGGCCGCAAGCAGCCCAGGAGCCCGAGCGTCACGCGCTCCCGCGCGCGCGCCGCCCGCCTCTGGCCAGGACGCTTTTACATCCGGAGGGTGGGCAGTGCCCGCTCCTCCGACCTCCCCGCTCACCGGCCGGGTGCAGGGAGGGCCGGGGGCGGGGCCTGGCCAGCTAGGGAGAGGAGGACACGTCGGAGAAGTTCAGGCCACACCGACTGGTGCTACCCACTTGCCACCCCTCAGCCAGCCTGCCCACCAGGGAAGGCCCAGCTGCCCAACTAGGCCTTCAGCCCCAGGGCCTGTAGACTCTGGCGTCTTGATGCCAAGGCCTGACTTGGCCTGTGTCTACTATCTCTGGGGCCTTCTCTGACCCATTCAGCATGTCCATGCCCTTTTTCAGGGTCTGGCCAGCTGGGTGTCAAGTCTGTAACCTCTCTTCATCCCAGAAGCCTCCTTCACCCTTCACTGGCAGTCAAAGCCTCTATTTCCAAGGCCTTTCTGGCAGCGACCTTGTAGGCCTCTGGCTGTGCTTGCCTGGGATGGGGGAGGCAGGGAAGATAGCCTCTCCCAGTGCTATTACAATCCCAGGGCCTCAGACCCCAGGGTATAGAGAGTTCTAGCTGGGAGCCAAGAGGGCATGAGAACTGGGGACTAGGAGACTGGGCTGCAGCAGAAGGGACTCTCTCTAGCCGGAAGTCCAAGAAGGAGCGTGAGGCCACGCGTGCAGAGGTGAGTGCGCAGGTGGTGCTGTGTGTCTGGGGTGTGGTGTGTATTCCTATATGTCCAGTGAGCTCCCAGCCTGCTCCTGGCCTGCAGCTGGAACCTTGTAGACTAGGTCAGGAAACAGAAGCTGTCACCAGGGCATTCTTCAGGCCCTGAGTGGCCATTCAGGACCCTAACATTGACAATGACCTGTGTCACTCAGTGACTGTCGTTTAGAGGGTGGAGGGGAAGGGTTCAAGGAGGGGGGTAGTTACACTTCCCTCTTCCCTGAGGAGCGCCAGTCCCTTGCCTCCAGGACCCCAGGAGGTACTCCCCGGATTGAGGGGAGAGGCTGCTGAAGACAGGTGGAAAGGTGTTGATGGGTACAGGTCATGGTAGTGAGACAGGAGGCTTGGCCAGTACCAGAGGTGCGGAGAGGGCAGAGCAGCTGTGGGCCTTGCAGGCTGGGGGGTGGGCCATGTGTGGATATGGGGTGGGGCTTCTGCATGTGTTATGTAGAGTGCCCAGAGCCCCAGCAAGTGGGGTGTCCAAGATTGCATCCAGTGTACCTGAGGGAGCGGTCCCAGTGTGTGCACAGCAGAGGCCGAGCGAGATGTGAGCCCCGTGAAGACGAACAACTGAGAAGGAGAAGTGAAAGTGAAAAGCCTGGAGGCATCCCAGTCTCCAGGTCAGCCCCTTAGGGCGCTGTCCGGAGGCCCCCAGAGCCCCCCCCCCGTTGGAGGTGGTGGGGGAGCAATCCTCCTAACCCCCCATTAACCCTTTTGTGTAGGCGCGAGACCTGCAGGGCGAGCTTCATCCGCACACTCACCAGAGCACTGGGCGCAGGTTGGGGGGAAGCCTGGGGAGGAAAAGAGCGCTGGGAAGGGAGTCCCACTCCCGCAGCTCTCTCGGTGGCTGACCCACCATAGCAGCCGCGGATACTCACCCACTCGGTCGCGGAACCTCGAAAGCCTCAGCTCAACCCCGAGACCCTCGGAAACCCTCGGTTGAAGGGACTTAAAGGAGCCTGAAACCCTGGAAGCTCGAGGCTTGCAAGCCTCCAACCCACAGCTGAGCCGCAGTCTCCACCGAGCACCCGGCAGGGCCCCTGGACGTTCCTTCCCTCCCTTGGGCGCCGCACCACCCCGTCTGGGCGCTTTTCCGCGCTCCGCCGCCTCCCGGCAACCCGGCAACTCGCCTGCGCACCTCTCCGCTGGCCGCCGCCCCACTCCCAGTGCCGGTCCGCAGCCTGGAAGATGCACACCCACCCACCCGGTGGTCCTACGCCCCGCACACGCCGGTTCCACACAGGAACAAACACGGCACCTCACCCGCGAGAAGTGTGCGTCCCAACTCACCTGGACCGGTGGCGGCTCCCTTCCGCCTCGCTCCCCCTGCCGGCCGCGCCTCCATTGCCGCGAGGTAGGAGGCCTGGCTGGAAGCGGGCTTTGCCCTGACCAGGGGGTCGTGAGCTGCTCGGGGACTGACTTCTTAGCGCGTCGTGCACGGCTGGGGCCTGGGCTACTCGATTCTCTCCTCCACATACCGTGCAGAGCGAGGACACGACACGCATTTCTTCAAGCGGGGAGCGGCGAGGTAGGGTCCCCGATGAGGCCATTTTACGGGCCCTAAAACCGAGGCTTGGCTTTGACACTGGTAGCCACAGGTCAGGGGTGGAGACCAGAAGCTTGGATGAGTGAAGGAGGCTGGAAGGGTGGGATGGACTGAGGACACCGACAGCTTTTGCTTTGCCCTCTGGGCTCTGCGCAGGGTCCATTGTGGGCGCTTGGCTGCGCCCCACCACTGCCTCTGGAGTCCGATGCCCCGACTTGTCACCCCTTGGCTGGACATCTTCAGAGTAGGAAGTGAAGCAAACCTAATTTCCGAAGTTGTCTCCTCAGTGTGCAGGAGGCGGCCCCTGGAGAATCTTGGCTGCTCTGCTGCTGCCCAGCTCCGCCTCCCCTGGGCACACGTGGTTCCCTCGGGGAGCCTTGGGACAGGAGCCCTCACACCCACCGACCCCACTCCTCACTTCTCCGCCATTGCAAAAATGGTGCCGTGCCCACCGCACAGAATTCACTCAGTGCCACGCTGTTCCCAGTCCTGGGAGGACCTGCGCACTCCCTTGTGTCTCTAGCGGGCTCACAACCCACCCACTGATCTTTGAGCTTTCTGGCTCCCAAGAGTAGCTGCGCAGTGCCAGCGCTCCCCAGCGTTAGTCCCAGGCAGGTCCTCCTTGGGATCCAAGCCGATGTCCCTGGGAGAGACACCTGGGAGTGCGGTGGGGACCGGGGACCCTTTCTCCAGAAATCACATTGAGGAGAGGCAGAACCAACCTGAGTCCCACTAGGCGTGTCCCCAGGTAACAAAGGGAAGCACGAAGAGGGGCTGGGCTTCACGTGACCCTATTAGTTCGTTTCAGGAATTGCCTCCGGTGCCTGCCTGGACTCGGCTTCAGAGTCTTCCGAAGAAAGCCTGTCCGTTCTGGGAGCAGCCGAAACCCAGCCTCTCTGCCGCTGTCAGCAGTTCTGCCCCAGGCCCCAGCCTAGGATGGGGCTGAAGTCCTGGAGTAGGCAGGGCCAGGGGGCAGCCTTTGAGGGAGATGGGAGAGACAGCCTTTCAGGCAGGCTCTGTGCTCTTTCCCCTCTGTCCCTAGCCCACTGGCGAGTGCTAGAACAGCAACCCAGGGCCCTAAGGTGCACTCCATTACCCCTCACAAAGACAATTGACCTGATTTGTGAACAAATGAGATGTTCCAGGTGACCCTGAAAGGCAGAGATGAGTGGAAACACCAGCCCTGGAGGCAGGTGGGTGGGAGCCACTTTGCTGTGGCCTCTTTCCCCTCTTTGGTTCTCAGCGACTGGTACTTTATGGGTACTGGGGAAGGAGCAGGCATAGGTGGCTTTTGTGGGGCCTATTCTCTGGGCACCTTCCTGTAAGAGGCATCACTGGCCAGCACCGCATGCACTTATACATGGTGGGTTTGCACACCTTCTGGAGGTTTTAGGTCAGAAGTGGGGAGCTGTGGGACTTCCAGTGTGCCTGGAACTGACAGCAGAACTAGGATCAGACCTGGAGCAAGGAAGGAGATGGGGCAAGAGCAGGAACAGTTTCCTTTGTGTGTGTGTGTGTGTGTGTGTGTGTGTGTGTGCACGCACGCACGCACACTTGTACCTGCACTGGGGACACTGCCTGGTGTAGTTAGAGAAGTAGGCAGCCCTTCTTCCCTAGCCAGAGGTCTCCCTGAGACTCCACTCCTCCCTACCTGTGGCTCACATAACCTTAACTGCTCCTTGATCATTGGCTCCCCCGACTTCTCTCCTCTCTGGCAGTGGAAGTCCCTGCCAAGTCCACCCTTGTCTTCTTTGGTATTGGATCTTTAACCAGAACTGCTGGGGGAAGGTACTCTCTGTCTGGACACTGGGCACCATTGGGTGTGACAGATAGGCTGTCTAGGAGCCCCAGACCCACAGTGGGGTTCACATGGGCTGGGAGGAAGTCTTCCAATAAGCCACAGCAGATAGACCTGACCAAAGTCTTGGCAAAGACTAGGTAGTCAGGGAC